GGAAGGTAGGGAGAGAGTCCTGGAGTCAAACAGACAAAGGTTAACTAAAAAAAACAACAATCTGGCACTGAACAGCACAAACCAAGAGAATAAATAGGGGAGCTAATGAGGAGAAAATAAGCAAAGACAGGTGAAGCAAATCAACTAAAATTATGAGAACGAGGGGGTGGAGAGAAACAATCAGGAGCACAAACAAAGGAACATGTGGCTAATACAAACAGAACAGATAGAACCAGCTGATCAGCCAGGAGTCCTGACGCTGTCGATCTCATATGCTTACTCAGCCACAATGTAGTCCCCCCTCTTAGGCGGGTTTGTGTCTTCCCTCCCCGCTAACCATTTTTCCAAATGTCTTCTCGCAACCAGGTCTTCCTATTTTGGCAGCGTCCTCCCTATCGGAACTGCAAGCTTTCCCAACATATTATCATATTTAAAATTCCTAGAGTTTAACTAGGTGCATTTTTATGATACCCGAAAAATATATCTGAACCTGAAAAACTTCTTAATAACTGAGATAAGTAAGAGCCAGGGAACATGTTGGAAGATTGCGTGAGTTCCTCACCAGGGGCAAGGTAAGTTTCAATCACTGTGCTGTTTTCCACAGATTTCCCCATAGTGAAAGTTTCCACATAGAATTAAAGTTTCCCTCCTGAAGGGGAACACAACGGTTACTAAAGTAACCCTCGTTCCCCTAGGGGGAAACAGAAATGCTATGTTCCTTCGCCACAATGATTAGCCAAGAAAGGCTCATTAGCTAGATAAGGATGCCTCAGCTTGGAACGTGCAGCAATTATATACAAGATTAATTGTAAGTAGCACCAGCTGTGCATGCTGAAGCTGCCAACTCATTGACATTTCATTGGCTCTTTCAGATGATTGGATTCTGATTAAATCCCTATAGTGGAAGTTTCCTCATAGCATTTCCGTTGCCTGAGGGCTACCTTAGTAATCGTTGCATTCTTATGCCACAGTTAATAATCGTAAAGCCCTATGGAAGCTAAAAAAGCATATTCTAGAGGGGAAAAACTAAATTTGAGGTAAAAAATTATTTAACTTTTTAAATAAAAAGCAAAAAGTTTTGGTTCAGTGTTTTACTTGTCCTCTGTGAGCCCATAAATCAGGGGTTCCCAATTCAGTCCTGGAGTGCCGGTGTCCTTTAGAGTTTAGTTTCAACCCCAAACTGACACATCTGTACCAGCTAATCAAGCTTTTTCCAGGTACTAGAAACTCCCAAACATTTTAAGTATAATCCTTATTTCGTAATGTTTCATCTGACCCCGGTTGAAATCAGAATTGTACATTTCACCCCAGGGGATGTTATAGCTAACCCAGATTATATATGGGGTGAATGGTAACTTTTTACTCTTTCTGTTTGAAACTGAACTATGCATTTTCTGTTTGTGCTACAAGGATAGCATCTGCATCATTTCATATTTTAACACACTGGCTAAAAATACCTCAAAGATAGCGACTCAAATTTGGTTTTGGCCTCTCATGAAGTGCTGAATTCTGTTTCAAGACCAGATAGAAGAAAGTGTGAGGTTTCAACGAACAAGTGAAGTTATAGTGAGCTTCATTAGTTTGTACTGACACAGCCTGACACCAGGTTTATTCACCCAGTTACACTCCCTGTGACAAGGCACCCCTTTACGATTGTAGTGTGCTTAAAAACTGCTCTTAAGCTCTAAAAACTGGTCATGCACATCCGTCAAGTGCATGTTTACATTGGAAACAACAGAATGTAGTGGATTGTAATATTAAAATCTGTTCTGTGTGAATGAGCCCTTACTGTGGCTGTTGTGTGTAGTTGTCAGGAAGGACCAAGTGTTCTGTCTACATCATAATGAACTGTTTAAACTGTAGTTGTTAAGAATGAGTTAATAATACTGTGCCCCTCCAGGTAAAGTCATGACATAATGATACATTAACAGATCATGGGTACATGTTGGTCAAATTGCGTTTTAATGAACATTGTTTTTCATAGAGTGAGTTGGTTGCTGGTTCAAGTACAGGCTGGGCCAGTTGGCATTTCTGTGTGGAGTCTGCATGTTCTCCCTGTGTTCGGGTGTGTTTCATCTGGGTGGTCCGATTTGTAGGTGAACTGGGTAAGCTAAATTGTCTGTAGTGTATGAGTGTGTGTGTGAATGAATTTTTCCCAGTATTTGGTTGTGGCTGGAAGGGTATCCGCTCCATTAAATATATGCTGTAATATTTGGTGGTTCATTCCGCTGTGGCAACTCCTGAAATAGAGGCTAAGCCAAAGGAAAATTAATAAATAAAGTGTTAATTAAGAGATTAATTACCAAACATGTACTAACAAGTAATTCATTATTCACACATGAACTCAAGTGACTCATGTTGTGGTTAAAGTTAGTTTTAACTTATGATTAGTCCATAACAAAGTAACATTTAGTTTACATATTAGTATATCGTAATCTTTATACTGTTACTGTAAAGTATTAACTAATTAAGCATTAAGTGTTAAAATAGATATTATTATTACAACCAAATAAAAACATTAAAAATCAAGCCAAAGAGCCCAAGTAAGCAAACCCTGCTTTCCACAATGGTGAAAAAAAATGTTTTCTGTTATATGAAATATGCAAATGTTCTGTTTTTCAGATATCTAAAATAGTTCATTAAAAAAATCACCATGGACTTTTTTTTTTAAGATGTCAGGCAGAAATTAAGTCAAATAGGTTTGTTCAACAGGCTCATTCTGAAAATGTTGCCTTATATATTCCTGGAGATGGTGAATTATGTAGCCAGAGCTATGTATGGCTGCATTTGTTCTTTAAAATGAATGCCATGGGCCGGTTTGTCAGCGCTCCTTTTCGTGCTTACCAGCTGACCATTTACCTCTGTATTCGGCTTTTCCGCTATTACTAGTTTGTCCAGTGGCTCGTCAAATACATCAGAGGATTTGTGACGCAGAGCGGAGTAGACTGTGACGACGGGATTCGAGTACGGTGAAAAATGTGTAAAGATTGCAAGCAAGACAAAAATAGAAATCAAAAAATAAAACAAATAAGTAAATAAGAGGGTGAGACTGTTGTAAAATCTGAAATTGTGGTAGAAATCAAACTGGCAAGAGGGCTTTTCTTTTTCTGGATAGCGCTTCAAAACACTGTCGGTTGAGTTTAAGGAATGGGGTGGCTGGTGTTAGTCGTTCGGTTGATCAGTTAGTCAGTCAACAGCAGCCTCTAGTGGATTTATGTGAGAACAGCAGGTGCGAATGGCACTAGCGAGAGAAATTTGAGATATCAAAAAGCGTACACAGCAACCTCTGGTGGATTCATGAAAACAAAAACTGCAAAATAACATAGCTCCTGGTACCAATTTGGTCCTCTCCAAAAATGTATATAGGGGTACGTAATCAGAATGAGCATGGGTTGGGTTTGTTGATTTCATGTAAGGCTGTCACCCCAATATGGTCCTTATGCATGTTGCCCAGTTGCCCCACATAACACCCAGTTGGGTTATATGTGAGATACATATAAGCTAATTAGATAGCTTAATATAAGTCTTTCAATCATCATAATTTAAATGTCACTTATCATGTCCAACTGTGTATGACCACACACTACGCCCATATTCTGATGCTACGTTCTGAAAATGTTGGATTGTTGTAATTCAACTTTGACTCAAATATGAACAAACCCAACCGTTGAGTTAAAGGTGCAGTATAGGTAATTTGCCTAAATGCTAATTGGTTAGCATAATATGTATGAAACAACCCCTCTCCTGCCACAAAGACATGCATCCTGAAATCATGAGCGCGCACATTAAGGAAGATGTATTTTATATTTTGTTATTAAACTAAATAAAAATCTACATTATCGATGCTTTAAAAGTACTTTATAAAATTGAAAATAGTCATATCAATCTTTCACCCGAGAGATTTCAGTGGCTGAATAACACTTGTGTGCATATAATCCATTTGCAACACAACACAGTCTACATCAGCTTTCTGTGACTAATATAAAAATTAAAACGCAACATTACCTGTCTAAAAGAAATACTTCATCCATGGTGTCATCCTTCCTTCAGCCTGAAAAAGAAAAGTAACTCCAATATTGATTCAAGATTTTAACAAATTTTGATTTAGTGTTTGTTTTTACTGCTGTCACTCATGTCCACATGACCGCTGCACATGTGTACGTGCAAACAACAAATCTGCGTGAACAGGGGGTGCACAGTTGTTCAAATCTACATTTGTTGACAGACGGTTTGGGCTACTTATCAGAATTATGGTAAATGTCGGCCCGACAAATTTTAATTGGATGAACATTTTTTTAGTCTTACACCTTTAGCCTTACCCAGAATACAAAATACATATACTGTAAGTACATTTTGATCATTTATCTAATCAACACTACTGGACTGTAAAGAGAATTTCAACCAGCACAACAAAAAATTATTCTGAAGACAATTACCTACTGCACCTTTAAGTATAATTGATGTATGTAATAAAATAATAAATAAATATCACAACTGTATGACAACCCAGCGTTTTTAGAGCTTAGTAGCAGGAGTTCTAGCAGAAAAACATTTTACAAAATTCATCATAACTCTTGTCCAAACAGTCATCAGATCTCAATCCAATGCCTTTGGGATGTGCTTGAATGTGAGCATTAGCTGTAATGTAAGTGAATGCTTAATCTCAGTGACTCACTGGCTCAATAACTGTTAATTCCCAAAACGTCTCAATGACCAAGTCACCGCTCCCCTCAAATACCAAAACAAGACTCTACATATTGAAAACAAAGACAGATTACATGCTTTAGTGAGAATTAAAAATCATGGTGTGGCATCATTTTTCAATAAGGGCTGAAATAGAATCATTTCAAACTGACTTAAATGATTGTGAGCATTAACTGGATCAACCAATCAAATAACATTTTAGAAGTTGTTTGGATAGTTGATTTTTCCAATTCAATTGTATAGTAGGCAAATGGTTAACTTTCTCTCTCTCTCTGAAATTGATGGCATAAAAAGTGTGTCTGTGCATGAATATTTCTGTATATTTATTCAACAACTTATTGAGGTTTCCTGGCACGTATTGACTGCTAAATAAAAAAGCATTTTAACAAATCCTGAACATAAAAAAGAAGGAGCTGAAGACAAACTACAGACAAATTACAGTTCCTGCTGACACGCGCTTACTGAATTGAGGATGATGGGACAAAAGGTCCCATGAACAGGTCTAATAATGCTTCAAGTGTCTTGGTCTATTATGAAAAGTGCTGACTTGCTGTTTTTATGGTGCTGTTATTACGTAACTGTGCTCTTTGACGCCACTTTCAAGCATTCTGAGTGTAAGAAGGTGCTAGAAGTTTCTGCAATATAGTGCCAAGGGTCTGGAAGGATCTTCGGCGTAAAATCCCTGGGAGCTTTACAAACACAAAAAGTGACATTTTCAAAGTCAAGTTTGTCATTCATTTAGCTGAAAGTCAACAACAACTGCTTCCGAGAAATCTTATGCAACAGACTGTGCTGACTCACATACTTTAATAATAACATCCGCAAGTCTGAGATAAACAGGCGAAGATGAGTGAACATGGTGAAATAACTTTGATAACTTCAAAGGAATGACTTCAAATCTGTTTCACCATTTTGAAATATGTGGGACAGTATATTTGGCTGTGATGACTCAAGTGGACACGGACAATTTGTTCAGAACTTGATATCCATCACCATTTCAGAACGATCCAAAGAGCTTCTTGTTCTTTGGTGGAAGAAAGATCTTTTGTACAAGGGAATTTACATGGCCAATGTCACAGACTGTTCTTATAGAAACAGTAAATTAACTTTCACTGACAACGGTGACAAATCTTCAATGTTTTGATCTATTTTATTTTATTTATGTATTAATTACATTTTTTTAAATGTAAAATATAATCCCATATGTTGTCATGGACTGTTATTTTTGTGTAAATGTCTGGTAGGGAGGGCGGGAAGATTGTCTTGTCATCAAGACTACAGTAGTTTGACCTCTAAAAGCTCATATAAGCTCTTAAAAGCAGGGTGAGGTTTGATGAGTAACACCTGCCTTTTTGTGTAATACTAGACTTTTTGACAAATCATCTTGTCTCAGCCAATCATCAAGCAGGTCTGAGACCAGGTTGATTTATAACCTCTGGAGTTAAACTTTAATTAGCACAGATTATATCTGTCCTCAGCCCCATTCACTCTTGTCCTGATACATACATTTATACAGGAAAGGCATCCAATCTCTGGATTATGGTTCATCAGAATAAATCGTCTGTGAGGTCTGTCTGTCTGTCTGTCTGTCTGTCTGTCTGGATTTCTGTCTGCTTCTGTCTTTCTTTTCCATCTGTTTACTTGTCTGTTTATTAATTTCTGTCTGTCTGTGTATCTTGATTTTTGTCTGTATCTCTCTTTCTATTTGCATCTGTCTGTCTATCAGTTTATGTATGTCTGTTTGTCTGTCTGTCTATCACTTCATGTCTTTATGTCTGTCTGTAAATCAATTTCTGTCTATCTCGATTTATGTGAGCATCTTTCTTTTTCTGTCTCTCTGTGTCTATCACTTTATGTCTGTGTGAATCAATTTTTGTCTGTTTATATCTATATTGATGTCCATTTTGTCTGTATGTACATAAATTTCTGTCTGTCTGTCTGTCTGTCTATTTGTCTGTCTATCTGTCTGTCTGTCTGTCTGTCCATCTCAATTTTTGTCTGCATCTTTCTATTTCCATCTGTCTGCTTGTCTATCTATCACTTTTTGTCTGTCTGTCTGTCTATCACTTTGCCTATCTATCTACACTGAGGTCTGTCTGTCTGTCTGTCTGTCTGTCTGTCTGTCCGTCCGTCCATCTGTCTGTCTGTCCATCTCAATTTTTCTCTGCATCTTTATATTTCCATCTGTCTGCTTGTCTTTCTGTCTATCACTTTGTGTCTATCTATCTATACTTTTGTCTGTCTGTTAGTCTGTCTATATCAAGTTTTGTCTGTCTGTCTGTCGGTCTGTTTGTCCATCTCAATTTTTGTCTGCGACTTTTTATTTCTGTCTGTCTGCTTGACTGTCTATCAATCACTTTATATTTGTCTATCTTTCTGTCTGTCTATCTGTCTTTCTGTCCATTTCAATTTTTTGTCTGCGTCTTTCTATTTCAGTCTGTCTGCTTGTCTTTCTGTCTATCACTTTGCCTGTCTGTCTGTCTGTCTGTCTGTCTGTCTGTCTGCCTGTAAATCAATTTCTGTATGTCTGTCTGTCTTGATTTTTGTTGGCATCTTTTTGTCTGTGTGCCTTTCACTTTATGTTTGCCTGTAAATCAATTTCTGTGTCTTTCTATATTGATGTCTGTTGTCTGTCTATCAATTTCTATCTGCTTGTCTTGTCTGTTTGTCTCAATTTTTGTCTGCATCTTTCTATTTCCGTCTGTTTGTTTTGTCTGTCTGTGTCTATCATTTTATGTCTGTCTATCTATCTATACTGATGGACTGATACTGATACTATCTGCCTATCTGAATTTTTCTCTGCCTGTCTGTCTGTCTGTCTGTCTGTCTGTCTGTCTGTCTGTCTGTCATCTAATCACAACACATTTTGCAATACATGTGCTTTGAGATAAATGTAAATTAATTCAATATACACATACTGTAGAAACTTCTCTACTGGTCTATACTGTGAATATCTATTTGTTTGTCTATAAGATCAGAAACATTTTTTTACTCGATTGGCTGTGCACAAGTATAAATCTCTCTGAACTCTGCATGCTGGCATTACAAATGGTATATAGAGTGCTGTAATAAAAATCGAAGATTAATTGTTATCAAACTCACAGGAAAGCTGAAAACTGGTGATTGTGGTGTGTAACTGTAAAGGGTTTATTCCCCAGGTCTGCTGAGCTGGGCGACATTTCACTGCTGTCAGATTCTCCTAAAAAATTACCAAAGTTTTACATCCGTCCTTCCATTCATGAACAGCACATGTTAAAAAGGTGATGCAACTTCTATGTATATTTTGGGGATCAATGTTCTTCATAATTACAGCATGTTGCATGATTATACACTGCTGCATGTGTATAATTGAAACTAATTGTTGCTGTTAATTGATCAATGCATTCATTGATTGAATAAGAATGATAATACATGTCGTGGTGATAAGTGTGTTTGTGTGTGTGTGTGTGTGTGTGTGTGTGTGTGTGTGTGTGTGTACAAATTGTGACAAAAATTTTTTTTTTTTTTCTTTCGACGTTAGGCATCAAATCTCTCCCTTTGGGGTCTAGTTTTAATTCAGCTTTTTGTGAAGACATTTCAAGCTAAAATTATGGGAAATAAACACTTTCAACAAACTTTTTGGAATCTATAACACAAGCTTCAGAAAAACACAACTCGTCACCTTAGAACTATAAGGTTCTATCTGACATTTTTGTCAAAATTGGGTTATTGGCATGTTCTTATTAAATGACAACTTATTTACATTTATGGAATGGGTTTTTAATAAGTTGTTTACATTTTAAGACTTTTTTATTTAAAAAAACAAATGTTACACACATACTGATTACTATGGAATGCAAAAACTTTAAAGCTCATTATCTCAAGATCATTCAGAACATGTGATAGAATCATATAATTCCAAGGTGACAAACTGCTTAACCTTCCATTTTAGCATTGCCTCTTCGTTAAAATAGTTTTAACAAGTGTCAACTGAAAACCAAGTGATCTGAGGAGCTTTACAGAACATGTCATTTGTATATTTCTAGAATCAGCTTATCTTGCTCTGAAAACAGCTTTTTCAGGCTCAAACTATGAAAATTGCATATGTGTGTGTGTGCATGTGTGTGTGTACAAATTGTAAAACAACAACATTTAGCTGACTTAAAAGTAAATAATTCTTTCTTTATGGTGTACGTTATTATAAAAATTAAGTCAAGTCATTTTTCAGTTACAACAAGTTTACCTACTTTTAAAAAGTATGTGTGTGTGTTTTGTGTGTGTAGTTAATAACAATCTACTACATGTTATAATAAACAAAAACCTAAAAACTATTCTTAGCATAAATCATAAATCAAACTATGCCCTCAAATCAGTGGTCTCAAACTTAATTCCTAAAAAAACAAGGAACCAACCACCTCCAACTCACACCTGCATAATAAGCTGCGTCTCAAATGGCACACTTATGCACTTACACACAACATAGTATATGTATGTAGTGTTATTCCTAATGGAGCACTAATGTTTTTTTACTAAGAGGAAATTCCCTGATAAGGTTTGATGGTTGCCAAATCAGTGAAATAAATGATCAAACTATTAAATAATACCTGCCATGAGTGTAACCGCATTCACCATCAAGAGGTGCTATAATTACTCTCATAGGAGAATTTTGCTTTCACCATCCAAAATAAATGAAGTTATCCAACATGTGTGCCCGATAGCTCCGCCGCTTTCGCTACGTGACCAAAACTGTAGTCCTTGAGTGCGTGAAGTGTCCATTAATACACACTTCATTTAACGGCTGAATGAGTTTCAATGTGAACGCACTACTTGCACTTTTTATACTACAAAATGGTGTTGAATAGTGCATAAGTAAGCGATTTGGGACACACCTGAGCTGCGTCCCAAATCGCATACTTATGCACTATTCTACGCCATTTTGTAGTAGAAATAGTGTAAGTAGTGTGTTCACACTGAAAACTCTAAAAATAATAAGTGCACTTTAATTACCCGGATGATGCACTCATTCAGCCGATAAAATGAAGTGTGTAAAAATGGACACTTCACGCACTCAACGACCGCAGGTTTGCTTTCATAGCAGAAGAGGCGGAGCTATCGGACGCACATGTTGAATAACTTTATTTATTTTGGATGGTGAGAGCAAAATTCTTCTACGAGAGTGATTATAGCGCCTCCCGATGGTGAATGCGGCAATACTCATGGCAGGTATTATTTGATAGTACGGTCGTTTATTTCACTGATTTGGTGATCGTGAAACATCATCAGGGAAACGGTCTGAATTTCCGCCTAGTAAAAAAACATTAGTGTGCCATTTGGGACGCCACCACATACATGTACTATCCTGTTGAGTGTGTAAGTGCATAAGTACATAGTGCATGAGTGCATAGTGTACAGTGTGCCATTTGGGACGCAGCTCTATAGTCTCTAGTAGTCTTGAACATCTTGATTGATTAATTGAATCAGGTGTGTTTGATTAGGGTTGAAGAAACACTGTGTAGAGCTGTGGCCCTCCAGTAAACGAGTTTGAGACCTATGCCTCAAATGGTTTTTGTATCAAACGTGCTGAACTGACGTTCTGTCTCCATCCAGGAAAATGGTCAAGAAGTCTCTTGTTGCTGGGATGGTGGTCTTGCTTGTGGCAGCCGTGGGTTTTTTCCTGGGTGTGTATTTGGGGATCGGAAACAAAAGACTCACTGTGTCCTCGGACCACTTCTACTCGAAAGCAGCCGTGGCAGCAGACGCTGGGAAATGTTCTGAGGTTGGGAGGTAAGAGTGCAAAAAAACATAAAAGTTTCAATGTATATCATCGTCAATCACACACTCAGCATGCTTTATGTTTGCAGGGACATCTTAAAGCGCAATGGTTCAGCAGTCGATGCTTCTATTGCAGCTCTATTGTGTGTTGGGCTCTTCAACGCACACAGCATGGGCATTGGAGGAGGGCTGTTTTTCACAATATTTAATGCGTCTACAGGTAAAAAAGCATGGACATTCTTTAGCTGATGAATTAGCCAGGAATACAACCCATGACCTTTGCATTGTTATACCTACTGTATACTTATGAAATGGTGTTTTTAAAAACTTTTTTTAGTAATGTCTGCAAAGTTAGGGTGTACTCACACTAGGCTATCCGAACTGTGGCCAGGCACATTAGACTCCCATTTCCCAGTTCGTTTGACAAGTGTAAGTGCTCAGAATTGGGCCCATGTGCAGTTTAGTTGGCTGGCCCAGACACGGTTAGAAGAGGTTTGCCAGAGCACGGTTCGGTGGAGCTCTGGCGCGGTATGCTTGTAGTATAAGTGCAAAGTGCACCTGTTGAGTAAAGTGGGTCACAAACCGGATGCACCACTCAGCACCGCTCTGCAGCATGCATATGATAGTTTGAAGTTACACACACTGGACCCATTTGTATGTTATTTAATATGAAGCTATTCAGTTGGCGCTCTTTGGTGGGGCAGAAATATGAACAGTGTCCTGAGTCATAGCTGGGTGCTGCAAAAAGCCACTATAGCGGTGCCGGTGTGCGTAACCTGATAGAAAACTGTATAGAATTCTAAAATGCATGGTGCTGCGTGTGCGACCCCCTTAACCCTGGAAGACCTAAATATAGAAAAATTTGAAATATTTTCTCAGATATTGTTTTAGGAGGCCTTAAATGTAGGAATTAATTTTTTTTTTTTTTTAACATTTTGGTGAGTTTTTAGGGTAATGTTGTAATATTGCAATGTTGGGCCTACCTGTGAGCAGAATTTCTGTTTTTGTATTCACTTGTCTTAACAGGCATACAGATCATTTAAGCCTTCATTTGCAGGGTTATTCACTTACTTAGCCGCATAGTAATATGTATATCATGCTTAATAGTCACACAACAATCATATTTTTTAGGAAAAAGCATTTATTAATGAAAAATTTGGAATAAAAAATTAGTCACATTCAGTGTGTATTGATCATATGAAAAGCACAGATGACACAGGTGAAATTCTTGCTGTAGATATTGTAGGTTTGACCTTCTTAAAGTGTGGAGGTGAGAAAACAGTAACTAATTACTAATTGCATCATTACAATTGCATTTAAATTACTTTTCTGATTACTTTGTATGAAAAGTAATTTGTTACTCATTAAGTAATTAAATTACTTGACTGAATACTATATATTTACAGTTGAGATCAGAATTATTAGCCCCCACGAATTATTAGCCCTCCTGTTTATTTTTTTCCCCAATATCTGATTAACGGAGAGAAGATTTTTCCAGCACATTTCTAAATTTAATAGTTTTAATTACTCATTTTTAATAACTGATTTATTTGATCTTTGCCTTGATGACAGTAAACAATATTTGACTAGATGTTTTTCAAGACACTTCTATACAGCTTAAAGTGACATGTAAAGGCTTAACTAGGTTAATTAGGTTAACTAGGCAGGATGGGGTAATTAGGCAAGTTATTGTATAATGATGGTTTGTTCTGTAGACTATAGAAAAATATAGCTTAAAGGGGCTAATAATTTTGACCTTAAAATAGCTTTTAAAAAATTAAAAACTGCTTTTAATTGTAGCCGAAATAAAACAAATAAAACTTTCTCAGAAGAAAAAAAAAACTTTAGCAGACATTCTGTGAAAATTTTCTTGCTCTGTTAAACATCATTTGGGAAATATTTAAAAAAACAGAAAAAAGAATTTAAAGGGAGGCTAATAATTCTGACTTCAACTGTATATATTTACTCCTTTCTGAATTGAAAAATTACTGTTGAATTTGCAAACAGTATTTAGTAAGTAACTCTAATAAAGTTACATTAAATGAAAGCATTTTTCGTTTTTAGCTTTTTATCACTTTTTAACTAATTACATCTAACACTGGTTACAAAGCTGTCACTCCAAAATGACTTGCAAAAATCACTTTTATATGGAGTTTATAAAAACATTTGTAACTACACTTAGTGACAATCTCTCGTAGCTTAGCATACAGTAGTTAGTCTTGTTTTTGAATCTACTACTGCACTGACACATAGCAGTTGTAGCTCTGCCGTCTATTGAAAAGAGCACTCATTTGAATTTAAATAGACAGTCACCAAAATGGCCCAATTAGGAACAAAGCCTAAAAGGGTCAGTTTCAAAGAGTTGTAAAATATTATTTGTGGGATATTTTGAGCTGAAACTTCACATACACACTCTCGGGACAAAGACTTATTTTACATCTTGTAAAAAGGGGCATAATATGTCCCCTTTAATACAGTGAAGGGCTTTTCAAAACTGACAATCTTTTTCTACTTAGTCTGACACTAAAGGACATCACTTTACTTTAAGTTTAATATGACGCAGAGGTTATTTGCCATTCAGCAGATTCTTGTCATGCAAAATGACTTACAGTATGTTCACTGAAGTGACATGTCCCTGAAGCACCCTAGGTTCAAGTGCCAGATAAAAGGACATAAGATTGAATCATAGTGACCATAAACCTTGTGTCACCCTCACTTGACAGTCAACAAATGACTTAATGGATAACCATTACCTCATTAGGTGAAGCTAGCAAGAGTAAAATAACAAATAATGGTCACACACAAGCTTTTTTCTGTCAAAGTGAATTATAGTTTTGGCAATCAACTCTGAAAATGTCTTGACAAATTAAATAATAATAATGTTGTGTTTGTCCACAGGAAAAGTAGAGACAATTGATGCCAGAGAAACTGCTCCAAAGAACGCTTCAGAAGACATGTTTGGCAATAACACCCAGCTTTCACGGAAAGGTACACCATTGTTAATGTAGATACCCAACCTGACCTCATGAGTAAATGTAACTATTTTGTGTATTGTCCGAAAAATAACAAATTTTAATTGAATGTGTATGTACAATTTTTAAATGGAGTTCCTTAAACTCCACCCCTAACACAAACCCTTCATTGACTGATAAGCAAATTGTAATTAAAGGTGTAGCATGTAAGATTGTAACCCAGTGGTTGAACTAGGTATTGCATTCCTGGATCAAAACAAATGCAAGCACAGGTTGCCAGATTGTGGACTAACAGGAGTGAGTTTGACTAGCGAGCCTGATTTAATCCATGTTCTAAATAAAAGGAATGGCACGCGATAGAAGAAATATTCTCCATATTAAAAGGAGTTTTTGTTCTAACCAACACCTGAAATTTATATTTTAGAAACGGCTCTTATTTCATGTGTATTCAGTGTTAAATGCTAACATTGTGAGTTTGAATGCAATTTAACATGATAGTTATTGCCATCCTACTGATAGCAGCAGATGATCACCTCAAATCTTGAAAATAAAATAAACCTTCTGAAATTAAACAGTAGATCTTAAGACTCAAAACCAACACATATCAGTAATTCAGCATCTACATGTTATAATGTTAAAGAAGTTTGATATGTATTAATTAGATTATAAAGCTTAAAATTTCGTTGGGGATCACTGAGTGCACTATTCTGTGCTTCTGAATGTGTGTATTCAAATTTCTGTCATGTTCTGTCTAGTGCAAACAGCCAAATTACTTATCACTGCAAATCTACAATATAACCTGCTCATCTAATGTTTACATTAGTAATATTCGTATAATTTGTGGAACTCTGAATCTGCGTCTTATTTTGGAGTTACAGAGGCACCTGGGGTGCTGAAATATAACTGGCTTAACTGGCATTGGGCGGGTTAAAGGGACCAAAACAAAGGTAGCGTTTCGGCATGGAAAACACATTTTCAAAGCAGAATATTTGGCTTCAGAATTGTTTTTCAGATAAACAAAAATGTTCACTTGGCATGTTTCTTATTTATCTGCAGATATTATGGTATTTTTATGCTTTAGAAGAGTCAAAAACTTACATACAACACATTTAAATGTACAAATGAGATCATACAAAATGTAAATTAAATTAAAAAAAACAAAAAGTTAAGAATTGGCATGAGAATGTGTTGAAATAACACTAAGTTTAGCTATCATCCTGGTAAATCTGTCTTTAAACTTGCCTTGCTGTATTATAGGTCAAATGTATTGATATTTTATGATATTTACAGACATTGAGACACATTGAGTCATTATGGTTTATGCCAAACATATTGTTCAAGAGTTTGGTGGTCAGTAAGATCTTCCAAAATGTAATTTCAAGGCGTTCTAATATGCTGATTTGGAGTTCAATATGCATTTCTAACTATTTTTAATGACTAAAACATTTGAAGGTATTTTGTCACCTTGGAATTATAAGGTTCTATCTTCTGAATGATTTTGAGATATTGAGCTTCAAAGATTTTGCATTCCAAAGCAAACAGTATGCGTGTAAAATTATAATAATAAAAAAAAGTCTTAAAATGTAAACAACTTATAAAAAACCTCCCATAATGTAAATAAGTTGTCATTTAATAAGAATGTCAATAACTTAATTTTGTCAAAAATGTCAGATAGAACCTTATAATTCTAAGGTGACGATTTATTGAAATAAAAATATATTTGTAAAATTGTAAATGTCTTTAATATTTCAGTATCAGTTATTTAAATGCATGATTCTTATGGTCAGTGGTATACTTGGTATTTTTTCTTATTATAAAATATTTATTTAGAGGGATAGTTCACCAAAAATTTGGATAGTTCCCTCAGCATTTACTCACACTCAAGTGGTTCTAAACTTGATGAACTTGACTTCATGAATTTCTTTCTTATGTTAAACATAAAACAAGATATTCTGAAGAATGTTGAAAACCAGCGGCCATTGACATTCATAATTCTATTGAGCTCAATTGCTGTAATTTCCTTTTACAGTATGTGCAAGAGAAACTCAGTTAGGTTTGTAACAAGTGGAGAATGAGTAATTGATGACAGAATTTTGATTTGTGGGTTAATTATCCCTTTAATGAGACTTTTTGAATTGCATCAACTGAATTGAAGCATTTACAAATAAATAATCAAACAGACAGGACAGAAAATTAGCAGCATGTCATTGAACCTATTGGGGGTTTGGCTTTGGAATGATTCTAACGGTGTCTCTTGTTTTCATGGCAGGAGGGTTGTCAATCGCTATTCCAGGGGAAATTCGTGGCTATGAGATGGCACACAACAGACATGGGAGACTGCCATGGAGGGAACTGTTTCTGCCCAGTATTAAATTGGCACGCAATGGTTTTCCAGTTGGCAAAGCCCTGGCTAATGCCATCGCAAAAAACAAGGAAACAATTCTGAGTGACATGACATTATGGTAAGGATTTATCTAATGTACACAAACCTGTATCTTGCACTCGCTGCTATTGCATTGCTGGTTAGACCTAAACTGCATTTCGTTGCACTGTACTTGTACATGTGTAATGAAAATAAAGTTAAATCTAATCTAAATCTAATCATCTAAATAGAAACTGAACAGTAACAATAACAGGGGGCAAAGCGATGGCGCAGTGGAAAGTGCTCTCGCCTCATAGCAAGAAGGTCGCTGGTTCGAGCCTCAGCTGGGTCAGTTGGCCTTTCTGTGTAGAGTTTGCATGTTCTCCCCCCGTTTCTCCGGGTGCTCCGGTTTTCCCCACAAGTCCAAAGACATGCGCTATAGGTGAATTGGGTAAGCTAAATTGGCCGTAGTGTATGAGTGTGAATGAGAATATATGGGAACCAGTAATGGGTTTTAGTTGGAAGGCCATTCACTGTTTAAAACATATGCTGGATAAGTTGGCCGTTCATTCCGCTAAGCCGAAAAAGAAAACGAATAAATGAATGAATGACAACAACAGACTGCACATTTCTGCATTAAGAATCAAGTGTACTGTGTGCAATTGTATCAAACTGCTACGTAAATAACTATTTCCCCTGATGTTAATTCCAAAAATCCTAATTGATTTAATGTCAACTGACTACCTTGATGTCAAAACGACATCAAATTAAGATCTAATATTGGTGTCAAAAACACCTCAAAAATTGATAACATGACTGTCTTATAATTGATTTTGATGTATTATGATGCCTGTATAAGATGTCAATTTGATGTCGTTTTGAAATCAGGTAAGTTTAAATGCATTGTAGAGAGACAAAATCCATTAGTTTAATCAAACAATAGATGTCAAATAGACGTCAAGTTTTTTTTTTATTTTTTTTACGTCAAATAGAAATGCATTTTTACTTTTTTTTTTTTTTGATGTTATGCTTATGCCAATTTGATGTCATTTTGATATCAAGGTGGCCACTTAGAAATAACTAATCAAACTCATTACTAGAGCGACAAGGAAACTTAAAACCATGCAGATTTTTTTTAGCCCACGGGTGTCAAACATCCTGGAGGTCCACAGCCCTGCACAGGTTAGTTTCAATCCTGCTTCAACACACTAAAGCTGTTGTCACACTAAAGTTTGAGCTTGCGAAATTCTGTCATACAGCGCTGGGGATTAAGAGGGGCGGGATTAAACAAGATGATTAGACATTTAAAAAAGCGAGCGATTGGTCCATGTTTTGATGCTCTATTGGTCTCACGCAGTCAAACTCGAACTTTGCTACGCGGCGAAACTTGATGCATGAGTTTGCGCTTCCGGTCTGACGCATTCACATGCATATGAACGGAAGTGTATGGGGAGAAAAGTCCAGTGTGACCGCAGCTTAACCTGCAGGTTTCAAACAAGCCTAAAATAGTTTGATCAGGTGTGTTTAATTAGGATTGGAACTAAACTGTGCAGAGTTTAACGCCTGTAGGTTAAAACACCATTGAGGCTTTTTATTTACTTGTGTAAATGTGTGTAATTATGTATTTATTAAGTTTTTTGTATTAATTTCAGTAATATTATTGAACAATATGCAAATGTTTATGATTTATACAGTTTGTAAATGAATAATTTTGATTTTTAGTACATACTTTGTTATATGAGAGACTTACTTTACCAAACAAGTGGTTCTGATTGAATTTGTTAGAGTTAGAAACACAATTGAAGTGACAAATGATACATTATTAGCCCTCTTGTGATTTCCCCCCCCTAATATTTCCCAAATGATGATAAACAGAGCAAGGATTTTTTTCAAAGTATTTGCTAAAATATTTTTTTTCTTCTGGAGATCTTAGATGTTTTATTTCTGTTAGAATAAAACAGGCCAAAGGCCAAAATTATTATCCCCCTTAAAGAATATATAGTTTTGATTGTCTACAGAACAAACCATCATTATAAAATGATTTGCCTATTACCATAACTTGCCTAGTTAATCTAGTTACGCCTTTAAATTGCACTTTAAGCTGAATACTACCTTGATATATCTTTAATATAATGCATTGTCATCAAGACAAAGATAAGAGAAATCAGTCATTACAAATTAGTTATGTTTATGTTTATACATTAATTATGTTATGTTTATAAATGTGTTGAAAACATCTTTCAGTTAAACAGCGTAGGGATTATATACTGTTTTAACCCAAGAATGACCAGTCTGTCAGATGAAGACAAGCCGAAGTCAGAGATTCAAATAAATAATAAATAAATTTGCTGAAGATAGTTTCATCAGGAGCCAGCTTCAACACTTGCAATGAGTTCCTAGGCCACTCTGCTTACAATAACCAATTAATAACAATTATACTCCCACATAACGTCCTTAACTGTGTCATGCATAGAGGTGTTCTAACCTGATAGGTTAAAACACAGATAGACTAGGAAACTTTCCATGTAGGGTTTGTCCGTACAATTCTCAACAATATCTTAAGAATAAATGTTTTTAGAGCATTTAGCATTTAGATCTGACTTCAGACCTTTAAAACAGATCCACAATCAAATAAAACACATATTCTTAAAGTACATTCTGTTTCTCACCCAAGGCTGAGTGTATTCCCAGCCGTCTTTATCGAAACTGGTTAAAAACCGGGATAATCTACATTCAGGCAGTTATATCCTTACTACACAAAGTCTATCTTGAATAAAAAGTAGAATTACTTGAAAATAATTAACTGTAAAAATAGCAGAATCACTTTAGACAATTTTAGATAGTATTAACTCATAGAAATAACAATAGAAACAGTTGCTTCCAGTCCTCACCCCTTAGTTCCACTCAAGGTCTCTGTGACCTCTGACCTAGTTTGGTGGCTTCTGAAAATAGTTATAAAGAGACAGGCAAATGCACTAAACATTATTATATTAAGCAATGGGTTAACATATTTATTAGTTAAAATCAATTCAAAGTTAAATACTCATTTAAATAATCATGTTTAATAAAAATAATGAGAAACAGGATGATGAAGAAAGGATAAACACTGATTCATGCTGAGATGGATTGGAAGGTATAAATTTGAATCCTTCAACAGAAAATGAGGAACAAAAAATATACAGGACGGCTACAGGAGGGCTAATAATTCTGCTAACTCAACTGTATATTGTTTTTTACTTAATGTGTAAAGTTTTTAGTTTACTATACTCTCAAAATGTATGCATTTCACATAATCAGGCAGATTTTATACAAAATTCTGCGCAAAAAAATAAAATAATTAAAAAATATCCCCAGGTTCAGTTTGGCCCTGCTCATTACCCTGTAAACTGCTTCTGCTCCAGTAGTATTTTTAGTGGAATTATAAAGACTTGTGCTCTTTCTGTGCTCCAGTGAAGTGTTCTGTGACTCAGACAAAAACATCCTGAAGGAAAATGATATCATTAGATTTACCACGCTTGCCGACACCTATGAGAAGATTGCAGAAGAAGGGCCGGATGTGTTTTACAGTGGATCCTTGGCCCAGAATATAGTGGATGATATCCAAGCTGCAGGTCTGGGTTGGATATTTTAGGTTATGATGTGTTGAAGGTCAGGTGACCCAATTTTAATCAATTAATCTTGTAACTTCAGGAGGAATTATAACACTTGAGGACCTAAGGGAATATAAGCCAGTGTTGAATGAGACGCCATTGAAGTTAACTGTCGGAGAATACACCATTAATGTTCCTGACGCTCCATCCAGTGGACCTGTACTCGCTCTGATTCTCAATATAGTGGACGGTGAGTCTCATATTGATCCTCAGTGTGTGTATGTTTTTGCATTTAGCACTTTGTTTCCACTTGGGATTATTATCCTGGTTCCCATAGATCATAGAATTTCTAGAATGTGACTGAATTTATATATATTATGCACAATTCATGGAACATCAGGAATTTTTGTTTGTAATTTCTGCTCATTCATCAAAATACTTTTCTTTTTTTTTTTGGTTAGGCTATATTTTTCACTGCTGTTTCATTCCTTTTTTTCATTACTTGGGAATATTGTTGTATATTGTTGAAGTGTTTTTGCAGATTTTTGTTATGATTGTTCTTAAAATTTGTTGCATTTGCTGCATTTTTTTCTGTTATTTTGCTGTGAAAATGTACACATCTTAGTTCTTCATTACTTTTTGACCTTAAGAACCATTGGTTTCTATAATTTATATTAGAAGACAGAGAGAGAGAGAGAGAGAGAGAGAGAGAGAGAGAGAGAGAGAGAGAGAGAGAGAGAGAGAGAGTTTAACCTTTTAAAGCCAACTACATCATATTTGACACATGATTGATTCTACATGACAGAAATAAGCAATAATCCTAATATCTCTTCAACAGCAGCTTCGGAATAATCATATTAAAATTTCACATTTTAGCCATCAGTACAATAAACAGAGAAATATAATGTTATTTGTTATAAAAGGAATTGAAACAGTTTCCTCTGGCCAAAATCTGTGTGAAATCTCCAGCAATTAAAAAAAATTGCAAGCTCCTCTACATTTTTTGTACTTAATTCAACAATCACAGAATCAGCAAATTCTCAGGGACTGAATGCATTTAAGTCAGTGAAAGTCAGGGGAAATTCTGAGAAGTTGACGTTAGGCTTAAATTGGGATTCTATACTATAACATTCATTTCTAATAACCCAATAGGGATGGGCAATTAATTGAAGTGAAATCATAAAAGCCAGCGATCATATTTGTGGTCGTCATTCACATCTTGTCAGGGAAGCACGGTTGTGTTCAGTTGTAAAACTGCTCTGAATGCCAGAGGGCGCTCTCATGTGGAAAGTTGTGAATCCTTATAATATTATATTACGTTTTTACTTGTTTCACGATACAGTATTGCAGTTTTAAATATATTGTAATATTCTATATAATTTTGCTTATGACCTAAAACTTATGACCTTTTCCATCTTCAAATAATGTCCCCAAAGGAAAACTTGGCAACATCTTTTAACTAAATTAAATCATTCTATTTTGACTAGTTTGTGTAACTCCCTTCAGTTTTATTGCTGGAATGTACATGAATGACAATTTCAAGCAGACAAGCAGAGAAATGTTTTGATGAATAATGTTGTATGCATACTTTCATGATGCCGCCATCTTCTTTAACTTGTAGCATGCTGAAGGTGACCAACAAAAAATGAGAAAAATAAACCTCAACACCACTATATTCTGTCATGAACTGTCAACTGATTTTGATATTCTACCAATTAGTATTACAAAATACTGGCAATATTTTGATATGGACATCCACATATTGATATAATATTTCCACAGAATTTTTTGCGATACTATGGTGTGTTGATATTTTCTCCCAACCATAATATTTTTATACATGTGATTGTATTTTTTTTCTTAATTTTTTGTTTAACAGAGATTTTCTCAACACATTTCTAAACATAATAGTTGTAATAACTCATTTCTAATAACTGATTTATTGGATCTTTGCCATGATGACAGTAAGTAATATTTGACTAGAAATTTTTCAAGACACTTCTATACAGCTTACAGTGACATTTAAAGGCGTAACTGGGTTTATTAGGTTAACTAGGCAGGTTAGGGTAATTAGGCAAGTTATTGTATAATGATGGTTTGTTCTGTTGACTATCGAACAAATATAGCTTAAAGGGGCTAATCATTTTGACCATAAAATCATTTTAAAAAATTAAAAACAGCTTTTATTCTAGCCAAAATAAAACAAATAAGACTTTCTCCAGAAGAATAAACATTATCAGACATACTGAGAGAATTTCTGTGTTAAACTTGCTCGGATAAACATTTAATTTGGGAAATATATATAAAAAAAAATTCAAAGGGGGGCTACTAATTCTGACTTCAACTGTACATGTATTTTTACTTAAATACTTAAAAAGATAGGTCTCCCAAAAATTAAAATTAACTTACTATTTACTCTCCCTCAAGTGTTTCCAAACCTTTGTTCCTTTATTTTGTTGCACTCAAAAGAAGATATTTAGAAGGAAGCTGAAAACCATTGACTTCTCTAGTAGGAAAAACAAATACTATGGAAGTCAATGATTACAGGTTGCCAAAATACCTTCCTTTGAAAAGAATGAGTAAATGATGAGTAAATGAATTTGAAGTCTGAAAACCTGAAATATTTTATGTTGATCTGTTGACATTTATCTGTGAATAAATGCTCCAAATAATAATATTCCTGTCTGTAAATTTTGAGATGAACCGACAGTTAACAAATCGTTTAAAATCTTCAAATCTGTGCATCCCGAGCCTAATGGCAGCCTGACACTGTAAAAAAGTTCCATACAATCGTTTTGTCCTGGGAATTAAGTTAGATTATTAGTTTTTACAAATTTAAGTAGATTAAATATAAAACAATTAAGATGTTCCAGATAAAACTCCAAACAGCAAACGTCTTTTTTTTTTTTTTTTGAGTGTAGTGCAGGTTCCCTGGCAATATTTTTATCCAATTAACTGAGCTACACAGTAAACTTTGCCATGTGATTAAATACATAACATTTAAGTAAAAGTAAAGTATGTTTCAGATAATTTGTATCTAACACCCACCCACTATCATTTAATAATCAGCCTTAATAGACAGGCTGAATGTACAGTACACCCGATTTTTGTCATTACTGTGGTGGATGAGTAAATAATGGATAACTATGAGCGAGCATGTTCTTTGAGCAGGAAAGATAACCGGATTGAGTATTACAGTATGTAATAATTCTCCATCACCGGAGTTATTTAGCCTACTTATTCATTCAGACATACTATCGCGTCAGCAGTGGAGTCCTGATGAGTAAACCAAAAATCTATGTAATTTGCTTTAGTCATGATGGCGAGCGTGCAGAATCATGTTATAGATGAGGAAAGAATGTACATTTAGCAGCGCATTATTGCTAAATAAACAGCATCCGTGTGAGCAGGATAAGGTTTTATACTTCCCCGAAGGAGTTTATTTTGCAATAATGATCAGATGAATGATATATGATTCATCTTATGCTGGCTTATGGGTTTGTTCCCAGGAAACGCATTATATTAGTTTCAAATTAATGTAAGCTGACAAAGTGTTCTAAAAACGCAACAATGAAGGAAAAGTCATGGCAAGATGCCCTCCAGTGCTTATATTTTCTTTTAACTCTGCCTTCGGACTTTTCAAACACAGGCTCATACTGGCAATACTGCATTATAAAAAATATCCTTAAAATTAGCAGTTTTCTGTATTTTGTGATTCATAATTTTATTATTTTATTTTCCCAAATTTATTTACAGTTTTAAATTGTATTATGAGACCTTTCTTCCAACAACTATTGATGTTGAAAAGTTTGAAAAAGTGACTTTCATTAGCATTTGTTATAGTTTAAAGGGATATATTGTCTGGCTTGGTGTTGTATATTACAGTACAAAAACCTTAGGTGACATTTTATAATAACTACACACTATGCATCATCTATTAAGCATTAGCAAATAGTTATTTCATTATCTGTTAAGTGTTAACTACATTAATAGATGTTAGTAAGCAGTTTATAAATACAGCTACAAATGTTGTATTCTTGACAAGCACACGTATAATGTGCTTAATGATTGTATTTTCAAACTCTATTGCTTAACAGTTGTTCATTATTAAATTCAGTATTGCATTTTGTGCCATCCATTTGTATTTAAGAGTAGCTGGTGACTTTTAGAAACATTCAGAACAAGTAAATGATTAATAAACTATAGAAATCAACATTTATTTATTGTATTATTTAGGCATGTAGTAATGGTTACTATGTTAATAAATGCTTTATTAACTTCATTTCATGTAGTTTTGTGACCTGATCTAAAGTGAGGGCTATTTGTAAATCTGTTATAAATTATTCAGTCTCAACTGAACAATACATGTTTGCAATGTTTTCTAAAAAAATAAAATAATTGTAAACTTTAAACATTGCTAAATAAAAGGAGTGCCAAAATGCAATTATAAATAAATGCAATTAAACAAAATTGGATAAAACAACAACAATATTAATTGAACAATATATTATGATGCAATTTAGCAAAGTGTAAACTGCACAGTCATATTATCTCCATAACTTTTCTGATGTGGTCAGTTTGCTTAGCAGTTCACTTTGCACAGCGTTATACTTGTGACACAATTGGTTTGAGGTCAAGCAAAATTGCACAACAGAGATAAAAGCTATGTGAAAAAAGTAAAACTTTGTGGTCGCAGTGTACTTGTCACTTACGTTTGCTTTTGAAAGAAAAAAAAAACTATTATTTGATTTTAGGGAAGGGAGTAGGTCGGTGGTTTGCTAGGTGATGTATGAGTAGCCCCTGCTTTCTCTTGAAGGTGTACATGAAGCATGTTTCCATAACTTATAACAAAATGTATACTAAGTATTCAGGTTTTAGATTTGCAAAAAAAGTATACAGTGCCCCCTAGTGGGTTCATCATCTGAAACGTGTAACAAAAGGTACATTTGCAAAAATGTATTCTGAGGCACAGATTTTCAATGAGCCTGGGTTGGACTGTGGCTGTGTCTTCTGTTTTTAAAACGCAAACATTCAATGTGTGTAAATGGGGAAAAGTAAGGTTTTTGAGATCCCTTAAACTTCTTTATCACAGTGTCATGCATAAGACGAGCACAATGGTCAAACATGTTAATCTGGCGAATGCTTACATAGAAAAACTATAAAAAAATTTGGAAAACAAAAAATCATTTGGAAACAGCACCTAAGGAAACATTCACATAGAATGAGTTTATGGCCAAGAGACATATTTTCTATTGCTGAGCACTAATAACTTTTTTAATGGTGATTACCCACATGGTTTTTTCTGTAATTAATCTCATCCTTTACACAAAATTCTACAATTCATTCAAAAATAGTACATTGCATACAAAAAAAAAAAAAGTTTTGTGAATGAAAATAGTACAAGAACAACTGTTTTTATTCATTCATTCATTCATTTCAGCTTTTCAACTAAGTCACTTTATTAATCAGGGGTCGCCAGAGCGGAATGAATTGTGATCACTTCTCTGTTTTGTTCTGTTGATATGTAATTTAAAATATTTGTAGTTTGAAAAAGATGGAAATATGATTGCTATTACTATGACTACTATGGCGAGGGCTTAAACAGAGCAGTGCTCATAATATCGAGTGGAAAAAAAAAAGAAAAAGACCACTAAGAAAAAAAAACCTGCTTTGTATTTTTTGTAGGAAACACAGTTTAGATCTGTTTAGGGTAGAAGGTGTGTAAGTTAGTGCTGTCGGTCTATCACTATATGTGAATATCGAAAACAAAACCAACTTAGCTCCGCTCCTTTAGTGCCCCTCACACAGCTTGATCCACACTGGCATTTCTCCCCTTGGGTTTTGGGTTTTGAAAAGAGAAAAAATTCCACCACCTCGTCTAAACTTTAACGATACCGGATGCACAATTCATATGCACAACGCTTTGGCTTGTTTCCCCCGCTCGAAAGCTTGACAGAGCCCCTGCACATAGCTACAGTTGCTAAGCCACGATTGGTGGGTGGCGGTTTTTGAGTGTGGCTTAGCGAATGGTCAATGAAGGACAATTTTACAAATGACTTCAGCACATCTTTGGCCACAGGTCATCACTAATCTAAGTCTCTCACAGACATCAATTCTCTCTCACACTGATCTGCTTACACTGTTTCATAGTTTGATTATTGTAGTGAGTTTATTAATTATGTCCAAAGGTTTTCCAGAGATTTTCAGTCAGGTTTAGGTCAGGACTCTGGGCTGCCATTTCAGTATTTCAGAGTTTTCAGGAACTGCTTTATTCTTTTGTAATTTACAAATACACAATTAGAAACACAATTTGTGTGATCATGTTCATTAAGGATTCAACCTTTGTTTTTAAGGTTTCAACTTCTCAGACCACAGTGTGTCCACAGCAGAAAAGAAGACTTTGACCTATCATCGTATCGTAGAGGCGTTTCGCTTTGCTTATGCTAAGAGGAGTAAATTAGGAGACCCACGTTACCTCAACATCACAGACGTGAGTCTCACTATTTCCACATATTTCAATTTAGTTGTGTGCCGCACAAAAGGATTTAAAGGTGATCTCATGCAATTTAACTCAAGATCTGTCAAGTGGTTTAAAGAGGCCTTTATAATAATGTCTGTTAGCAGACAGTATTTTCCCAAGGCTTCTAACAGTACAGATTTTATGCACCTGTGAGTTCAATGGCCTCTTGTAAATCTCTTTTCAATTATCTCCTTTCTCAGCTCATCCACAACATGACCTCAGACTACTTTGCAGACAACATCAGGAGTAAAATAACAGATGACACTACTCACCCAGACAGCTACTATGATCCAGAATACTTTGTACCCGATAACCACGGAACAGCTCACCTGTCAGTCATCGCAGAGGATGGGAGCGCAGTGGCTGCAACCAGCACCATCAACCTTTAGTAAGAAAAATGGTTCTCAGTCCTCATATAGAAACATGATGCAAGCAAATATATGTAAATTACATATAAGTTCACATTGGGATTTCACATTTAATATATCATATATGCAACATATATTTTAAAATATTGCTAAAATGTCTGTTTACATATGATTGGTATATATTGCCATATATATCAGATTTCTATATGGATTACTTTTTAAAGCACTGTTGGTTGTATGTTAGTCTCAATTCCTGAGAAAACATAAAAACTGTTTGTTGTTGATCCCAAAAAACTGTAATTGGACCTCAGGTGGAATAGTTTATTTCTGTTCCCTTTATTTTGATCTGATTGTCTTGAGTTTTATTTTCTCTCTCTTTCACAGTTTTGGCTCAAAGGTGATGTCACGCTCAACTGGCATTATTTTTAATGATGAGATGGATGATTTCAGCTCTCCTTACATAACCAATGGTTTTGGTGTTCCCCCTTCACCCAACAACTTCATTCAGCCAGGTGTTTTCAAGTTCGAAGCTTAAAATACACTCACCGGCCGCTCTATCAGTGGTGGAAAGAATACTTTAAAATCATACTCAAGTACAAGTACCTTGTCAAAGAATTAAGTGTAAGAGGTATCTTGTCACGATCATCAGCGATCGTAACCCCTTGGATCGCTGGAATTCACTCAATCGCTTATGGACTACAAATCCGCCATTCATGGACTGCATTTTCATACATGCACTCCGCTCACACATATGATTCCTCATTCTGACTGATTACACACGCACCACCGGAGGATTGTCAAGGACTGATTACACACACCACTTAAGCTGCACACACACTCACTCTGATGGTTGAGTCTTCTGTAACCTGGGGAGTGACACTGACAACAGAGTTTGGATCCAAATGCAGGTTTATTGACGCAGTCAGGCAAGCAATGGTCAACACGGGTGCAAACAGATGTATAAAAGCAGTCCAAAATCGTAGTACAATAACAGACGAGAGGTCAGAAGGCTGAAGGAAGACAAGGACAAAAAGACAAACTAGGCGAGAGTCAAAACATGGGAAAACAAGACAAGGAAAACACGTTGTAATGTCACGTACGTAAATGATCGCTGGCGATCGTGACATATCTATAGTAAAAAGTATCAGTAAAAAGCACTTAAGAGTAGTGAGTATAGTGAATATTGAACAAATTTAATTCACTTGAATGCCTTGCTAAATAATAAGGTAGCTTACATCAGAGGCGTTTTTAGGTTTTTCTAAATGTAAGTTAAATTATTTGCATTCACTGACAATACATTCAAAATGTGAGATTAATGTAAAAACAAGTTTCATTAATGTATGCGATAATAAGCCAACAGAAGCAAGTTTACATGAATTCTGTGTATCCTATTCATAGTGTGTAGCTATTATATAGTGTTATCCAAGGTTTTTTTACTGTAATAAAAAATACCAAAATTTATCTGTGATGATATTTTAATACTTAGGTTATACACTTTGAACCCAGAGTAACAAGCAGTGAGCGTCCAGCAGATTGCACTGCAAATCCATGCAGTACTGATAGAATACATGAAACTTGCAAATGTGTTTAAAACACTACATTCTGTAGTGCATTTATTTTTTTAAGGCAATTGGCAATTTCAGTCATCATTCAGTAGTCATCTTTCATCTTAAATGATCTCTTGGTTAAATTTGAATGATTTTAAATCTTCTTAGACACTTTTAATGCTTCCACACTGTACGTGTTTGCATAAAGTGTCCATGCCTTGAGGTTGGTCTTTCTGTGATATGATATTTCATTTGTTCATTCATTTTCTTTTCGGCTTAGTTAATTTATTAATTCGGGGTCACCACAGTGGAAGGAAATGCTAACTTATCCAGCATGTTTTACGCAGCGGATGCCCTTCCGACTGCAACCCATCTCTGGGAAACATCCATACACACTCATTCACACTCACACGCTACGGACAAAAAGAAACGGCAACTGACCCAGCCAAGGCTCAAACCAGCGACCTTCTTGCTGTGAGGCTACAGCACTACCTACTGCTCCACCGCGTCGCCGATATGATATTTCTATCCGCAATTTGATTAGATGGGAGTCACAGGATGGATTACTCCACTTAACCAATCACCATAAACAAGAAAAAATCAATAAGTAGATGTAAAATATACCGCACTAAGGTATATTGTGTGAATGCACTTCTTAAACTACTCTGTGTAATAAGATATTTTTTAACACGCATGACTATACTTATTTTGCATTTCAGCCTTTTACATATGTCAGCACAAAGTGTCATTTTTTTGTTTAGTTTTATATATATATATATATATATATATATAGCTATTTTCACTTGTACGCACACTTTAATTATTAGTAAGTTATTAGAGCATGACAAGTTTTTGGTAGTTAAACTTTCTTGCCAAACAAATCAGTAAGTACATTTAATAGTTGATTACATAAAAATACAGTAGAAAAAACTTGGATATAAAAGCTAAGCTTTCAAATATAAATCATGTCAAAATCAATTTGTACTCTAAGTAACTCAAGACTCAAGTAAAACTTAAAATGAGGACTTTCTAATTCTAATTTCTGTACTTTTAAGTGCTTTACTTGTGTACTTTGTCCACCACTGATTTGATATGTGCATTTGTGAGTTAAAGAGGTGTATATAATAGAGTAGCCAGTGAGTGAGAATGACAAATAATTATCCTTTCCCTCTTTATAAGCACAGAGATCAAATTCAAACAATGACACTTCTTAACATTCTTCTTTTTTTTTCTTCTTCTTTCTTGTCTAGGTAAAAGACCCCTTTCATCAATGTGCCCCACAATCATTTTTGACAAACACAACAGAGTCAAAATGGTGGTCGGGGCCTCAGGTGGGACGAAAATCACCACAGCTACCGCTCTGGTAACCATTTACATACATAGATTGAGTTTATGTGAATTTCTTCATTTTAAAGTTGTCTTCAAAAGTGTGCTTGTCAATTGTACTTTTGCTATACCTAAACAATAATACAAGCTACTGGACATTCAGTTTTGTAGGTGCTAGCTTCTTGGGTTCTTTGGATTACTTAATATGCATATGGAATGTAATTTAAACTCACCAGCCACTTTATTAGGTACACCTGTTTAATTGCTCGTTAACGTAATTTTCTAATTAGCCAATCACATATCAGCAACTCAATGCATTTAGGCATGTAGACATGGTCAAGACTATCGGCTATGGTTTTAAGCACAGCATCAAAATGGGGAAGAAATGTGATTTAAGTGACTTTGAATGTGGCATGGCTGTTGATGCCTGACGGGCTGGTCTGAGTATTTCAGAAACTGCTGATCTGCTGGGGTTTTCACACAACCATCTCTAGAGTTTACAGAGAATGTTCTGAAAAAGAGAAAATATCCAGTGAGCGGCTATTCTGTGGGCGCAAATGCCTTGTTGTTGCCAAAGGTCAGAGGAGAATGGCCAGACTGGTTTAAGCTGATAGAAAGGCATCAGTAACTCAAATAACCACTCGTTACAACCGAGAGATGCAAAAGAGCATCTCTGAACGTACAACACATCGAACCTTGAGGCAGATGGGCTACAGCAGCAGAAGACCACACCGAGTGTCACTCCTATAATAGAAGATTGGAAAAATGTTGCCTGTTCTGATGAGTCTCGATTTCTGCTGCAACATTCAGATGGTATTATCAGAATTTGTTGTCAACAACATGAAAACATGGATTCATCCTGCCTTATATGAACAGATCAGGCTGCTGGTGGTGGCGGGGACACTTTGGGTCAAGTAGTATCAATTGAGAATCATGTCAACACCACAGCCTTCCTAAGCATTGTTTATTTTGTTCAGCTCAAAATCTCTGAGGAGTATTTCCAGTACCTTGTTGAATCTACGCCACAAAGGATTAAGGCAGTTCTGAATACAAAAGGGGGTCCAACCCGTTACTTGTAAAGTGTACCTAATAAAGCGGCCAGTGAGTGTAGAGGTAAACAATTATTACCAAAACAAGTTAATCTTTCCAACAGAAAACACCTGCCTTAAAGAAACACTGTACTTTTTTTTTTTTTACTGTTTATCAAGGTATACAGTACAGTTTTACCTTTTATTTTACCAATCCATTTAGCCAATCTCTGGGTCTGGTGAGAGCATTTTTATCTTGGCATAAATCAATAAATTGGATTGGACTAGTACCTTCTCAATCTAAAAATTAAAAACAAGAGTTTGATCATTTTCCTATGTAAAGCATGATTCATAATGGAAAATGAAAAGATGCTATTTTCTATGTAGATGGCTAGAAACTTTGCTGCCGTAACATGGAAAGATATAACGCAGCACTGTTATCTACTTATCTAGTACATCTATGTAAATGCTTACTTATTTGTTTGAATATCCATATCTGTGACTTTTAAAAACACAAACCAGCACATTATTACTCATGAAAGGTTAGCTCGTGTTGTGGCATCAGACCTTTTTTTGTTTTTAATTAACTGTAGGTGATGATAAATCAACTACTTTAAGATGGTCAGCTCGTCAACTTGTCTTGAGCGGTCAAATGAGGCATTTGCCTACGTATACACTGAACGAAAATGCTGGATTCTACACAATCGATTTGTGTTGGGACAACATGAAGGAATTAAGTTAACTTATTAGTTTCTTTTATAAATTTAAGTGGCTTAAACATAAAACAATTAAGTTGTTGCAAAAACTCTCAAGAATTGTGTGATTCAGCTCAATTTAAATAGGTACTTTGAACAAACAGAAAATGTCAATTTTTTTGAGTGTAAATAGTTTTGACAGAGGGTGAATAAAATGTTCTGAATATGTTAATGTTCAAGTTTTCTGAACAATAAATCATGCAAGTATATTGTAAATCCTTCATTGGGCACCTTAATGTAAAAATTATGTTAAAAAACATTAGAAATTTCAATCGATTTCATGTTAGTTGACAGCCTTGATCTCAAAATGACATCAAATTGACATCTACTGTAACACTTAAGTCAAAAAACAAAACAAATCGATTACAGAGCTGTCCTGTAATTAACAGGTTTTCTGATGTCAATGTTAGATGTCAATTTGATGTCATTTTGTGATTAAGATTTACATGCTGTGTGGCGATACAAAATCTATTGTAAATTTGGAATTGAAGCTTTTTCACATTATAACAATTTTTGGTCATTATTTTGTTGGACAAAATGGCATCAGTGTGTGGATATGGTTTTGACATCAAATCCATTTTCAGTTTGATGTTGTTTTGACATCAAGGTGCCCACTTAATGTTGTTGTAAACCTACTTCTTATTATTAACTTTACCAAAACTGTTTTGATATACATACACGTCTTTTCAGCTCTGCTATCTCACTTCTAACAGGTGATCCTAAACTCGCTGTTCTTTAACTATGACCTGAAAAAAGCAGTGACAGAGCCCAGAGTCCATAACCAACTCAACCCCAACATGACCGTCGTGGAACAGGACTTTGAGCAGGTGGGTTCCTCTACTTGACTTCCGAACTCTATTTAATACTGGGCTTAGACTACACAATAGTAGCTCATTTGACATCATAGATCATTGATCACACAAGGGGTTCTCAACCTTTTTCACTTCGGGGCCCACTTCTTTCTCCAATCAATATATTTGAAAGCCCACCTGTTAGTTTGAAATGCTCATTTAATCCTTTATTTATTAACAAGTATATATGTTATACATTTGCCGTGTCCTCTTTTATTTTCTATTATCAGCATTTTATGAAAAAAATATAATTGTATTTAAATGTAATTGAATATAAAACTAAAACTACATAATATATTAAAACTATATATATATTCAGAGATAACTACAGGTCAACAGGGAGATTGCAAAAGACTATCTTCTGTTTTAAACTTTACTGACGGAATATCTAGTATTAAATATCTACTATTCAAAAATATACAGACCCATGTAAAATACAGTAAACACCATAAATCTGTTCAAATGTGTTGATCTGATGGTGGTTAAGTTTGCAGCTGGATAGTGTTGGGGGATCGCTAACATTACTTTGGATAACTTCACACAAAAATACACAAAGAGAGACTTTCACTTTAACTTCTCACATTGTTTGTGAATGACCAGACTTATTAGTTGCAGACACGATCATGAGGCTGTTTTTGTGCCGAGTTTGAAGTAATCAATCAGAGGAGAAAGTGCATTACCTCAATCATTTTAATATAGAACATTAATAATGAAATGTAAAAATTATAGCATAATATTGAGAGTTGGGCTAATTTAGATGTCGCGGCCCACCTGCAGGATCGCTGAGACCCAAGAGTGGGCGACGGAAACCGGTTGAGAATCCCTGGTATGTAGTATGTACTAGTGGAAAGGCTAAAGGTTGTCAGTCCTTCATGACAGGCTTTATTAAATAGAAGAACAGAAGCTCTTCCATACACATCTTTCAGACACGGGGGAACAAAAGAGCACTGTAAAATGCTGGCTTCCACGCTATTGATTTGTTTTATTTAATTATTCATGAAGGAATGACCTTCCAGCATATGTTTTATCAGCCTGATCTCACGAGAAAACGTAAGTATTTTACGTTTTGCCAATTTAGTGGCTAATTCGTACGAATTCGTACAAAATGGCTGATTTTAAAAAGGAGGTGTGGCACCAAACCCCACCCCTAAACCCAACCGTCACTGGGGGATGAGCAAATTGTACCAAATTGTGCGAATTAGATCGTACGAATTCATACGAATTAGCCACTAAAGCAAAAAGTTACGAATTCCCGTGAGATTGTGTTGGTTTTATGCAGCAGATGCCCTTCCAGCCGCAACCCAGTACTGGAAAACACACATCACTCTCACATTTACACACACACACACACATAAATGATATCAATTTAGCATGCCTTTGGTCTGTGGAGAAAATCCACGTGAACACAGGCAGAATGTGCAAACTCGACTTAGAAATGCCAACTGGCCCAGCCGGGACTTAAACCAGTAGCCTTCTTGCTGTAAGGTGACATTGCCAACCACTGAGCCCGTGTCGTGGTTAATGACGGTGTAATTAATCTTGTTGCAATTGCTGAAGATTTTATCAGAATAGCATTATCACTATATCGACATAAGACAAAACATTATTAACATTGACAAAAAAAGGTAACAGGTATAACCCCAAACACTTAATGTATTGCTTTATTGTATACTGTACATGTTCAGAGTGAACAAATGTTTCAACCAAATTAAAGAGTTATAGACAACTAGTTCAATAGGTAGCACTTTACAACAAAGGCTTATTAGTGAATGTTAGTTAACTGATTAAAAAGACTCGCTTTAAAAAAAATCCAACTGAATTTTAATAGTTACTAACTCAATTAATTTGTCCACATTTAATAAAATGATTTTGGCTTTTCGTTATAGTTATTGGTCATTAACTAAGAAATTAACATCAGATAAGATTAATAAAAGATCACTTTAGCTTAATTAAATACCATTAACAAAAGGAGATCTATTTTAACAACCAATTGACCTTTAAAAGGACACAAAAATTTTAGTCAATATTTCAGCACATTAGTCCAGACTACCATTTGAAAATGCTGTCTAAAAAATAAGTGGTTTATTTATAAACAAATTTTAAGAGGATCACGTGCTTGTGATTGCTTGCAGCTGGTACTGCATCATCCAGTTTATGGTTCACCAATCAGACGATTCCTAAGCCACTATAAATATATCACAGCCATTTTCATTTTGTAAAATGTCCTCTTCCACGCCTACTCCTCCTCCTTTCCAAGATGGTTGGCATGGTGGCCTAGTGGTTGGCACTGTTGCCTCACAGCAAGAACGTCACTGGTTTTAATCCTTACCAAGCCAGCCGACAGAGTTTACACGTTCCCCCCATGCTCTTGTAGGTTTTCCCCTGCTTCCCCTCTTTCCTTCCACTGTCCAAAAACATGCAACTTAAGTTAATTGACTAATCCAAATTGGCACCGTAGACATGCTCCTAGTGAGTTATTATCTCTTTAGAGCAATCACAATCTGTTCATTAGCTACTACAGCAAGGGAGTTCTCGAGATCTACCTGAGCTCAAACTTCCCTCTCGCCTTGCAAAAGGGAGGGAGCCCTACGTTAGAGGAACTTATGAGCTCACGGCTCTTTTCTGGGACAGCATGCCAAACATGCCAATCAATCATCATCTAAGTATGAACTTTTGAAAACAGCCTATTAAGTCTGCAAGAATTTGCTCCTGTGATACACATTCATTAATATAACAAATGTATCTAAAAGTAATTAATTGTTCACAGTATTTTAAAGTGCCCACAATATCAATAGACTGTATGTTCATTAACACAATATATAGTGTATTTAAGTGTAACTTAAATGGCCACTTCGAATGGCCCTTTAGATTAAAAGATTCCAAAGGTTACAACTGAAGGTGACTCTTAAAGCCCCCGCGATCCTTTGCACAGGGAAGTTGTTTGGTGTTGCACACTGCGGAAGGGATCATCTCTATGGCCTAATCCCTTTAAAGCTGTCACCCCAGAGGGTAAACCCTTCAAAGGGATTAGGGTGTAAGGATGAGCCCTTCCAAATAGAACACAGTGGATGTGTGTAGTCTAAACCCAGCAAGATAAGATAAGCATATAATTCAATTACATATTATTTTTTTTTAATGTGTGTGTGTGATTGTAACCATCTCCATACCTACTATAGAGTGTTCTTGATGGCTTGGAACAGAAGAATCACGTAACAGAGCTACAGAGGACACCAGGTGCAGTGGTCCAGGCCATCGTGCGGCAAGGGGACAAACTCTGTGCTGAATGTGACCCCAGGAAAGGCGGCTATCCTGCAGGATACTGAACGCCAGTCCATCTCACCATTCGTGGACCTTCAGAGACTCAGTCGTGAAAAATGGATACATTCAGAAGCAACAGACCTTTCAGGCTAATGATCAACATGGACCACAATGCACAAAGTTGCACAAAGACTCCCTGTATTTATTATTTATTTTATTTTATTTTGTTGATGGGGAAATGTTTCTTTGATATTTATGATTTTACCAAGCTTATTTATTCCTTTTGTGTGTAGAAAAGATGATTTATTATCAGGGGTCTTTTTGGTGCCTGATTCTATTGTACGGGTTCTTTGTTTGTGTAATGAAGTTCCTGGGGGTTTCATGTTGAAAATCTTCAAAGCTCATATTAACACAAAACATGTCTGTAAATGTGACCAAGTCAGGGTACATAACCGTACAAATAAATAAATAAATAAATAAATAAGTAAATAAAGACTAAAATATTACAGGTTTATTCATAGGGAGTTAATTTTTATTCAAAAAAAGAGACTATTCCTAACAAAATGAATATTCCTCAGCCTGAGAAAACAAAACTATTTTAGATGTACATCATCAGAAAAGTGGCTAATCTGTGCAAATTCCAAAGATTTCATTAGTATGAAAACAAATTTTAAAAGGAGGCATGACCCAAAAGCACATCCCTAAACCAAACTGTCATTGGTGGATGAGCAAACCATCCTAAAATTTGTGAATGAGGAACAAATTCATATGAATTGGCCACTAAATCAAAATTTACAAGCTATAAACTCGTCCTCACACAGATCCTGCAAATGTTTCTTTTTTTTTTTTTTGGACACAAAAGGCTTGTTGGTCATCTATCTCTATGCAGTACTGATTTTAACCTTAAAAGGGCAAAACTACCATGCAAAAATGGTAAACAACAATTAAAATGTCTGATGGTAATCAATATTTTTAAATTCCAAGTGTGGATTTAGCAACTAAAAAAGGAAAGGTCATGTGCAACAATGAGTACGTTTACATGAACACCGATAATCTCATTTTAAAACGATTAAGACAATGATTAAGAGTATACTATGTAAACAGCGATTTTTTTATTAATTTATTCCTTATAGGTCATAATCAAACTAAACAAAAATCTAATTAAGACATGTCATCACCTTAGAATTACATCTTAATTCTATCTGACATTTTTGACAAAATGGAGTTATTGTCATTATATTCTTATTATCGTTCATATATACTTATTAAATGACAACTTATTTACATTATGGGATGTCTTTTTATAAGTTGTTTACATTTATTATTTAAAAAACAAATGTTACACACATACTGATTACTATGTACTGCAAAAACTTTGAAGCTCAAAGTCTCAAAATCATTCAGGATGCAGATAGAATCTTAGAATTTCAAAGTGACGATGTGGAGTATGCCGATTTTACCAGTACAACCTGTAAACACCTTAATCAAACTATTACCATCGTCTTTTCAACACGATTTGCGACAGTATGGTTCATACACACAGGTCACGGATGGATGAATAAAATGTTCCTGAATCGAAGTGAAGCTGCTGAACTGCAGATAAAGTCAACAAATTAAATATAAAACACCCGAAAATACATGAAATTCTAAAGAAATGTGGATAGCATGGTGATGCAATGACGTTAATTAATCTATGCGATATAACATGTAAAACTGGATCATGAAAGGAACATTCAAAAATATTACATACATGTTCGACTCATGTAAACACCTTAATCGTATTATTGTCTTATTTAGATTAAGGCATAGTTAGATTACTGATGTCCATGTAAACAGTCTTTGAGAGAATTGTTTTGATTTGTAGACCAGTTGGCGATAGTAGTTCAGGCTTAAGTTACAGACGGAATGTGTAACACGCACATCATTTTTACCTAATCAAGCATTTGTATGTTCAGAGATTCATTTCTAAAAACTTGCACTTTGAAATTCTAAACATAGGCGTCCTGACTGAAACATGTCTAAAGAATGTCTGTTAGTGAAAATCCAAAAGATGTCTATAACAATAGTGCAAAATTTTACTAGTCCTCAAATAGACAGGATGGAATGACTACATGTGAAGTCTGTCTAATCTACTTAGTCTGTTTTGGACTATTGTTTAGATAGATTTTTTTAGAAATAGTCTGTGTATATGCACATAGACTTTTAATTTCAGACAGCCAGCCCCAGGGCTTCTGGTGAATTGTCATCCCACACAAAATCGACACGTTTAAGATCAGATTTTTTTTTTAAAAAACACACAAAAAAAAACAGAAATCTTCACTGCCTGGCTGAGATATGATATAAAGTAGGCATCAGACCAAACTTTAAAAGGGAAATTAATTTTACCCCAGTACTTGCAAAGAAGTTTCTGCGCTCGCCTGCTGCTAATGACAGCGCTTGCATTTAAACTTTCATCTTATTTTAACAACTGAACAACTAAACGGATGCTTAAGACTATTTAACTGAATGTATTGTAATTTCATTACAACATTAATTCTGTAAAAGGAACCTTGTGAAACTGAAAAAAAGTGACATTAACCTTTTACTGAAAGTTCATCATTGGCTGAAAAACACTAGCTGTGCATATAGTCCCTTAGATATCTTTAAAACACAACTACTTGGTGGGTGTTGACTTTTAAATGAGGTTAATTTAAAAATCTAAACTTTTTGTTTGAATTTTTAGTTGAAAACTAAACCTGTAAAATTTGATTCAGTGTTGTGTTCAAATTTAACATTAAACTCTCAGAAAAAAAGGTACAGGAGCTGTCACTGGGCCAGTACCTTTTCAAAAGGTACATTTTTGTACCTGAAGGGTCCATAATGGTACCTCAAAGGTACTTTTAGGTACATTTGGGCGTCTTTTAGGTACCACTGTGGAATATTTGGGTACAAATATGCATCTTTTGAAAAGGTAGTGCCCCAGTGACAGCTCCTGTACCTTTATTTCTGAGAGTGTACAATAATCTCTAATCTATTTATGCTTCCTAATTTTTATGGTAGACACTGAATGATTCAACCTGATCTTACGAAAAAAAAGTATGAATTTTGTCTTTTGTTTAGTGGCAAATTTGTATGAGTTCAGTCGTACAAAAATGTATGATTTTTAAAAAGAAGGTATGGCACCCAACACCGCCCCTAAACTCAGCCATCATTGGGGGATATGCAAATCATACTAAATTGTACGAATGAGATTGTATGCATTCAAAAGAATAAGCCACTAAATCAAATGGTTAAGAATTGCCATTAGATTGTGTTGGAATATCCAGCCCGATTTCACAAGGAAACATAATTATTTTACATATTGTCAGAAAAAAATGGCTAATTCATACATATTCGAACAATGACAAATGATCAAATGATACTAAAATGTAAGAATGAAATCATACAAATTAATACTAATTAGCCTTTGAATCAAAAAGTTACAAATTGTTGTATATATCAGGCACTATTAAAATGTGTAGCAAACTCAACAAGCTGAATGTTTCTTTTAATGTATCCAGCATACTTATTTTTAAACACTGAACTGGAATGATTATGTTTTTATGGTGAAGACAAGCTATTATTAACATACACAGCCATTCATAAGTAAAAGCGCATGTGTGGCGTCAGATTACCTCACTGGACATTCTGTATACAGCCATTCTCTTCAGAGATGACTTGCGTAATGTGAAATGCTAAACAACAATAACGACTGTTAATCTGTTATGAGTAAACGACTTGTGTACTTGAAAGTGACCTGAGCTCTGAGGCATTATGTTCACATCAGGTCTTGATGTTTGTATTATTTAGGGCACATTTGGACTCATTAGAGCAATATACACTCACCGGCCACTTTATTAGGTACACCTAATCCGCCTCAAGATTGGACGTGTTGTGTGTTTAGAGATGCTCTTCTGCATACCTCGGTTGTAACGAGTGGTTATTTAAGTTACTGTTGCCTTTGTATCAGCCTGAACCAGTCTGGCCATCCTCTTCTGACCTCTGGCATCAACAAAGCAACAAAGCACCCACAGAACTGCCGCTCACTGGATATTTTCTCTTTTTCATCCCAAGTGTGTTTAGTGTCCAACGTATCTGAGTAGGGGTGTGTGTGTGCGTCACAAACCTGAAGAGGGGTGGGGGTGAGTTGCCCGAAACTTACCTGAAGAGGGGTGGGGGTGAGTTGCGCGTGAAAAGCAATGGGTTTGAGTTACGCGCAACATACCTGAAGAGCGGTGGGGGTAAGTTGAAGAGCGGTGGGGGAGAGTTGCGCGCGACATACCTGAAAAGCCATGGGGGGTGAGTTGCGCGCGACGTACCTGAAGAGGGGTGGAGGTGATTTGTACACGGCGTGCCTGAAGAGGGGTGGGTGTGAGTTGCGCATGACTTACCTGAAGAGCGGTGAGGGTGAGTTGAGCGTGACGTACCTGAAGAGCGGTGGGGGTGAGTTGCGCGTCATGTACCTAAGGAGCGGTGGGGGTGAGTTGTACGCCACGTACCTGAAAAGCGGTGAGGGTGAGTTGCTCGCGACGTACCTGAAGAGGGGTGGGGGTGATTTGCACGGAACGTACCTGAAGAGGGGTGGGGGTGATTTGCGCGCGACATACCTGAAGAGGGGTGGGGGTGAGTTGCCCAAAACGTACCTGAAGAGCGTTGGGGGTGAGTTGTAAGCGACGTATCTGAAGCGCGGTGGAGGTGAGTTGCACGTGAATTACTTGAAAAGCGATGGGTTTGAGTTGCGCGCAACATACCTGAAGAGCGGTGGGGGTAAGTTGAAGAGTGGTGGGGGTGAGTTGCGCGTCATGTACCTAAGGAGCGGTGGGGGTGAGTTGCGCGTTACGTACCTGAAAAGTGGTGGGGGTGAGTTGCGCATTACGTACCTGAAAAGCGGTGGGGGTGAGTTGGGCGCAACGTACCTGAAGAGGGGTGGGGGTGATTTGCGCGACGTACCTGAAGAGGGGTGGGGGTGAGTTGCACGCGACGTACCTGAAGTGGGGTGGGGGTGATTTGCGTGCCATGTACCTGAAGAGGGGTGGGGGTGATTTGCGTGCAACGTACCTGAATAGCGGTGAGGGTGAGTTGCGCGGGACATACCTGAAGAGCGGAGAGGGTGAGTTGCGCGCGACGTACCTGAAGAGGGGTGGGGGTGATTTGCACACGACGTACCTGAAGAGCGGTGGGGGTGAGTTGCGCGTCATGTACCTAAGGAGCGGTGGGGGTGAGTTGCGCGTTACGTACCTGAAAAGTGGTGGGGGTGAGTTGCGCGCGACGTACCTGAAGAGGGGTGGGGGTGATTTGCGTGCGACGTACCTGAAGAGGGGTGGGGGTGAGTTGCACGCGACGTACCTGAAGAGGGGTGGGGGTGATTTGTGTGCGACGTACCTGAAGAGGGGTGGGGGTGATTTGCGCGCGACGTACCTGAAGAGGGGTGGGGGTGATTTGCACACGACGTACCTGAAGAGCGGTGGGGGTGATTTGCGCGTCATGTACCTAAGGAGCGGTGGGGGTGAGTTGCGCGTTACGTACCTGAAAAGCGGTGAGGGTGAGTTGCGCGCGACGTACCTGAAGAGGGGTGGGGGTGATTTGCGTGCGACGTACCTGAAGAGGGGTGGGGGTGAGTTGCACGCGACGTACCTGAAGAGGGGTGGGGGTGATTTGCACACGACGTACCTGAAGAGCGGTGGGGGTGAGTTGCGCGTCATGTACCTAAGGAGCGGTGGGGGTGAGTTGCACGTTACGTACCTGAAAAGTGGTGGGGGTGAGTTGCGTGCGACGTACCTGAAGAGGGGTGGGGGGTGATTTGCGTGCGACGTACCTGAAGAGGGGTGGGGGTGATTTGCGTGCGACGTACCTGAAGAGGGGTGGGGGTGAGTTGCACGCGACGTACCTGAAGAGGGGTGGGGGTGATTTGCGTGCGACGTACCTGAAGAGGGGTGGGGGTGATTTGCGCGCAACATACCTGAAGAGGGGTGGGGGTGATTTGCACACGACGTACCTGAAGAGCGGTGGGGGTGAGTTGCGCGTTATGTACCTAAGGAGCGGTGGGGGTGAGTTGCGCGTTACGTACCTGAAAAGCGGTGGGGGTGAGTTGCGTGCGA